ATTTTCGATATTAAAATCGGGCACCGGCGCGCGACCGTTGAACGATGGCCGTCTTTTCACGGGCCGTCGTCGCCGGGGCTCGCGCGCGATCGATCATTTTAATTCGACGACCGGAGCTTTGTCGTCGCACAATGTATTCGCGAAGGAATAAGTATGATTCCGTTCGCTCGGCGCCGCGGCACCGATATTTCGATCGCGAAGCGCAGGAATATCCGAGGAATCCGATAGCACTGCCGATTGCTCTCGCGTCATTCACCTTTCGAGAAATCTCTCGCGTTCGCAACTTCCGGATCGAGCCGGGAGACAGAGCTTTCGGATGTTTCGACGAGACGAGGATACTGTCGGTTACTTTCGCGTTATTCGAATGTTTAAACGTCCGTCGTGTTGTCCGTCGGTTTAATTGAACTAAATGTTCCTCCCAAAATTCCCAAAGATTTTCCCCATTTTTCTGTAATATTTGAAATATTCTTCTTTAATCGAATTCCGTAACATACAGCAAACTATTAACGAACCTTCATAGCTTAATATTAATTATTAACCTCAATTTCTTCGCGTCTTCAACTTTCAACTATCCCATTTATGAATCAAACGAACGCTTTAATCTACCCTAATGTTCTTCTCAAAATTCCCAAATATTTTCTGTATTTTTCTGTAATATTTGAAATATTCTTCTGTATTCGAATTCTGTGACATATAGCGAACTATTAACAAACCTTCGCACCTTAACACATTGAACGCCGGCTAAATTTCAGCTACTAGAAACGGGAGCGTCGGTGATTAAAATTTTGTAAATTTTACTTTGGATTTGTGTTATATCTAGAATGTTACGCGAACGTAGGATTAGCAATTAAACGATTGACTGAAGATCCCGCATTATCGCGGAGCCGGCGCTCAATGTGTTAATGTACGAATCAAATTAAATGGTAAAGAGGATGTTCAAAATTCTGATTTGGAAATACTGTCAAGCTTCGTGTTATTCAGACTTTGTGTTATTGTATTATTCTTCGAGTCGAATGAAACGATAAGGATGTTTAAACGTTCGAATAATTTAAAAGTCGACTAGTTTCACGTTAACACTAGAACTACCGAGCATTTAATACCATTAATATGTAATCCCTGTAAAAATTGTAATAATTGATTATTATCGATTCCTTCAGACATTCATTATAGTATTCAAGTGAAACTACTTTCAAGATCATTTCGAATATTCAGTGCTTTTAAGGTACCGATAATTACGAAATGAAAACGTTGAAACCAGTCATTTTAACTGATTCTAGTGTTAAACTTTCTAAACTGTATTATTCTTCGAATGAAATGAAAAGGAAGACGTTCAAACGTTCGAGTGATTCAGGAATATTGGTTACTTCCCAGTTTTTCGAATTTTTTACGATTTCCCATATCATTCTCCGGAATCGAGGAAAAATATGGTTTCACCGCGATCAATGAACATCAGATAATTGCCACGCAATTATGTACTTTTACAGCCGCGTCCCTACAAACTGCGAGCAATCGGAGACTTAATTAATCCGCCAAGCAAGGTATCGAATTTCGAGCGGAACAATACGCCCATTCAACTTCGAACTTCCAAACAGTTTCGATTCTCCCCGAACCGGCGACCTGCAGGTACACGGAATCACTTCAATTATCAATACTCAATTCCCAAAGAAGCCCGGCGCACGAAACGAGCATTTTATAAATTAAACAGGGAGAGCTGGCAACGCGAAGCGCCACGTTCGGTCGAATTTCCCTCGAAAACGCGAGGTCTCCCAGCAAACAGTCGTACCCGGTGTCAAAGTTAAACCCCATCGCTTCTGCCCGCGTTGAATCACTGGACAAAATCCTTAGAAGCTTCCGTGCGACGGTGTGTACAGGGTGTTTCGGAAATGCATGTTGCAGAAGATGGTCGTTGCACTCGCTAGGTCGGCTAATCGATATTCGTGTAACAAAAAAAGGCACTTTACCTCTGTAATGAGTGGAACACGATGCAGTACGGAACTTTGTCCCTGCTTTGGAAAGTTAGAATGAATCTTCTGATCGTTCTAATCCTTCGAATCGAGGTATAACACTTTTAAACAATTATTTCAGGAGTTTTTCAATCTCTAGTGGAATTCGCTGTGATGGTCGTTATATATAATTTGAAGCAAACTATATTCTGGTCATTGAAAATGATATTTGACACTTTCAAACAGTTATCCTCTGAACACTCTCAATTGTGATGATCATTGCATATATTTTTGAAACGAGTTATGCATTCTGATCATGGAAAAATCTTTAACTTGACTAATCTTTCTACTCTCTAACATAATCAAGCTATAATATCCACGCCACATATTTTTGAAACTCTCTATACATCCTAATCATTGATACCAATATATAACTCTTTCACACAGTGCTTCCCAAATTTTTCTACTCTCTAACATAATCAAGCTATGCTACCACGCCATATATTTCTAACACCCCGTACATCCTAATCATTGATACCAATACATAACTCTTTCAAACAGTGCTTCCCAAATCTTTCTGCTAACACAACCAATCTATGGAATCGCTGTAATCCACATAATTTAAAACAACCTATACATCCGACCATTCCCTCTTGATCTCCACCAGAATCACACTGCGATAATCATTCAACATATTTGTAACACCCTGTACATCCTAATCATTGAAACCAATATATACCTCTTTGAAAGAATTCTTCGAAAATTTTTCTACTATCCGACAGAACCAATCCATGGAATCACGCTGTGATGGTCATCGCACATAATTTAAAACAACCTATACATCCGATCACTCCCTCTTGATTCCCACTAGAATCCCACTGTGATAATCATTCAATATATTTCTAACACCCTGTACATCCTAATCATTGATACCAATACACGACTCTTTCAAAAACTGCTTCCCAAATCTTTCTAACACAACCAATCTAAGGAATCACGTTGTGATCCACATAATATAAAACAACCTACACACCTCGACCCCCGCTAGAATCACCTCGCGATAATCATTCAACATACTTCCAACACCCCGTACATCCTAATCATTGAAACCGACGTGCACGATTTCCAAGCGGTCCCTCCCCGAATCTTGTCGACGCCGGTAGAATCAATCTGCGGTAGTGGTTACATATACCCCCGAAACACCCTGTACATTCTAATCCATCCGTGGGACGATTTTATCAGGTCCCAGGGTTTTCCATTCCGCCAGGGAGCCCGGCCCGGCGTCTGAACCCGGCCAGCTTGTCCGAGCAGTGTAAACGTGCCCGGAGCCCGATTCCTGTCCCGTCCGTCCGTTCGTCCGTTGATTAAACCGCCGCGCGAGTGGAAACGTGGCTCCGTCGCTTTACACCTGTGCGCCGGTGTGTCCTTTCAGGAAGCACCCCAGCGACGGCAGCAACGTTCCAGGCCGGGCAGCCAGTGGAGTACGTGTGCACGATGCCAGCCGTGCCCGCGACGGACGCACCGCGGCTGAACGAGGCGCGAGGAAAGCAGTTGCAGTCTCCGGATCGACGCTGTCACAGCCGCAGCCCGCTTTCACGGTCCTGTCCACGAAAGTAGCCCGGAGCCGCTGCTAGTTTCTGCCTCCTGGTCGCGCGCTGCGCTCGAGCTGACGGTGCAGGAATAGATCGTGTGTGCTTTGCGGGGACAGTCTGCGGCGCGACGAGTGCGGAGGGCCGACGGGTATTCCTGTGTCTGGAAGATCGAGGGGTTGACGAGAACCAGCTGGGACAGAGGATCTGCTTGAGTCCTGCGACTCCGGATAGCTCGCTGGCTAACTACGTCGCGATACGAGTCTGAAGCAGAGTCTGGGGTATTCTGGCTTGAAGATCGAGCATCGAAGCTGACGAGACGCAGCTGGGTTTGCTTGGACTCTATGATCCTGGATAGCTAGATTGAGTGCAGGCAGTTGCGGTACGAGTCTGAAGGGTATAGACTGATACTTTTGGAGATCGAGAAGATTGAGAATCTGGGAAAGATCTGCTGATGTTCTAGGTAGCTAGCTTCAGTGGAGGTAATTGCGGTACAAGTCTGAAGAGTATAGAGGACGAATACTTTTGGAAACCGAGAAGATTGAGTATCTGGGAAGGATCTGCTATTATTCTAGCTAGCTACCTTCAGTACAGGCAATTGCGATACAAGTCTGAAGAGTACAGATGACTCATACTTTTGGAAATCGAGAAGATTGACGATCTGGGAAGGATCTACTGATACTATTCTAGCTAGCTACCTTCACGTTGACAGTCGTTAGTGTCTCGAGCTCTGAGGAGTTAATCTTGAGGATTGAGTTGATATTAGAAACCAAGAAGATCTGCTGATATTGTTCTAGCTAGCTAGCTTCTTCAGTAGGGGCAATTGCGATACAAGTCTGAAGAGTATAGAGGACAGATACTTTTGGAAATCGAGCAGATTGAGAATCTGGGAAGGATCTGCTATTATTCTAGCTAGATACCTTCAGTGGAAGCAATTGCGATACAAGTCTGAAGAGAATAGGCTCATACTTTTGGAAATCGAGCAGATTGAGAATCTGGGAAGGATCTGCTATTATTCTAGCTAGCTACCTTCACGTTGACGGTCGTCAGTGTCTCTAGCGAGGAGTTAATCTCGAGGATTGAGTTGATATTAGAAACCAAGAGAATCTTGTACCCCATGCTTCCAGCCAGCTACCTTGTTGAAGTGTCTCGAGCTCCAAGGAATTAGTCTTGAAGATTGATATTAACAGAAACCAAGAGCATCTGCTTACACCCCATGATTCCAGCTAGCTAAGTGCGTCTAACAACCACTTGGATCATCCGACAGGAGAATGCTACCTGGCGCTCCGAATGATCTAAACAGTCTGACGTGATATTCTCGTCACGCGTCGCTTGAAGACCTCCGAGATGTCCCCGGTATACGGTCAACCGTGAACTTTCCCCTGGAAGGATCAGCTTTTCTGGACTCCGCGTAGGAAGACGGGACACACGCCGAGGTGAAAGGTCGAGGAAGATTCCCCCGGAGCGAGATTGGAGGAAGACGTCCAAGGCCTAATGTTTCCCAGCGACATGGGGCCGCTAATGTTCTTAGCAGTGGCGGTGTCCCTTTTGGGATGCTGCCAAACGGACGAAAAAGGTAACGTACAAAACGCCCCTCTCGACGGGTGACGAAAGAAACTGACCCTTAGTTTCGTTGCCCGTTCGCCTCTCCTTTGTCTCCTTCTACGGCCGTTAGCGAGCGTAAATCCGACGGCGGAGGGGGCGGGCCGGGGGTGGTCCACCGACAGAGATTAACTTTTATGGTCAGCGGAACGAGTGGACCTCGTGAATGCATTACACATATAACGGCGACTGGCCGCTCACGATGATACCCGGCGACTACTTTAATAACGAATAAACCCGACGGGGAACGATGTCCTGCGAAGGACAATGGCGAAGTGTTTCGCGCGCGGAATACCCGCGATCGATCGCGGAAACGATCGTTTCGGATGGACGTCTTGGCGATGAAAAATTCGAGAGTCGGGGACGCGTAAACTTGATGGTTCAGTGGTATTATTCTCGGAGTAATTGAATACTAAGATTTAACACTAGATGTACCAGTAAAAATGACTGGTTTCGATTCTTTTGTTTAGTTGTTATTGATATTTTCAAAGCATTGAATATTCGAGAACTTAACACATAAACTTGATGACGGGTTTAGTGGTATTATTCTCGGAGTAATTGAATACTGAGATTTAACACTAGATGTACCAGTAAAAATGACTGGTTTCGATTCTTTTGTTTAGTTGTTATTGATATTTTCAAAGCATTGAATATTCGAGAACTTAACACATAAACTTGATGGCGGGTTTAGTGGTATTATTCTCGGAGTAATTGAATACTGAGATTTAACACTGGAACCACCAGTAAAAATGACTGGTTTCGATTTTTTTGTTTAGCAGTTGTTGATATTTTCGAAGCATTGAATATTCGAGAGTCGGGGACGCGTAAACTTGATGGTTCAGTGGTATTATTCTCGGAGTAATTGAATACTGAGATTTAACACTAGAATTACCAGTAAAAATGACTGGTTTCGATTCTTTTGTTTAGCAGTCATTGATATTTTCAAAGCAGTGAATATTCGAGAACTTAACACTGCGTACTGGTAACGAGAAATCTCGTTTTTAATAAAGACACTTAGCTATGCAACTTTGCTAATTACCAGATTAAAAGAAATGTTCAATTTGATTCGAATTGATTATCTATTTGAAATATATTACATAACAATGTATCTGAGTTCTATGTATAATGATGTGAACTGATCTCACTGAAAATTGTCAGTCGCAATTCAGTTTTCCTAAAATTAACCGGTACGCAAAGTGTTGACAAATATAAATATTAGACAATTATTATTATTCAATTGTTGTGAATAGAAATGATATATTCTCCTTTTGTTATCAGTTATGATAATTTAAAGGAAACGTAGGCGTAGAATATAATTAAAATTTGTCTCTCTTTTCAATGAATTGTTAATGGCGAAGTAGTTGTGTCGATCACAGTTGAAATTAAATCGTAGGTCAAGGGGTTAACGGACGTGGATATTGCTCGTTCATTTCTGGTTCGAAGTGACTCCGTCTTTGCGTTATTAATATTCACTGAACTGAAGACTCACAATGGAACGAGAATTCTTATCTGTCCGTGTAAATTGCGAGGAACGAGGTAATCTTGATAAGAGTACTCGTGAAACAAATGCCGAGGGCAAAGGGTTGACGTTATTATTTAGTTAATTTCGCGGGGGTGATTCTATTAAAATCGCACAAAGGAAAGTGATAAGGGATGCGTGTAATAAAAAGAGAGACGTAATTAACCCCTTTCCCTTGTAACGTGGAACCTCGTGGCGGCGAGTTCGAAAAAAATATTATCTCGCCCTTATGAATATTTAATCTTCACGGTAAATTTACTCGTACACGGGATATTTCATATATTTCTTCCGCGCGAAGTTTATTAATAATAAGTGCGCCGCGGATTTTTCTGCAGTTATGGGGGATTCGAGGGTGTAACGTTGCACGGGGTGTACGTTGTACGAAGAGATATGTAAAATGAAAATGCAGTGTTTCGTTGGATTTTTTGGGAGAAATATTTTCCATGGTGACTACATTTTTCTAATTACCTTCTGAAAAATTTTAATTCAAAGCTAGACAAAGATTTTGAGGAAAACTGTTCTCCATCGTAAATTTCGTCTTTGTAATATTCTGCAACATTCGAATTTCCTTGAAGATCAGAGATCTGGTTATTAATATTATCAATGACTCAAGAAGAACACTGCACTCAAATCTCACACCACAAAGTAAAAATAGAAAGAACATTTCAAGGAAAACCATTTCCCTAATTACATTCTTAAAACTTCCAATTTTCACAAACATAAAAATCTGATTATCAGTATTATCAATGACTCAAAAACACTGCACTGAAATCTCGCACCACAGATTAAAAATAGAAACAGAAAATACTGACAGAGTCCATTATCCACTCCATTTTCCTAATTACACTCCGGAACATTCAAATTTCCATAAAATGTATACCACCATCCGTGACAATGTCCCTCAAAAATATTTTCTTAAAAAATTGCGTGTGCCATATATGGTAAATACGGCACTGAACATTTTAACCCTTTGCACTCGAGATGTGATTCTCAGTCACCACTTGATTTGACACAGTAAAACTATAGAATGTGATATTTAATGTCATACTTTGTATAATGCCTCGATACGTGAAACATTGTCATGAAACAGCTTTGTTCCTCAATGTACCGGTAATTTCTCTTTTAATTAGTCTCAAAGGAACATCGTCTTCGCCTCGTAAAGAAACGTTAACCCTTTGCACTCGGGAGGTGACTCTCAGTCACCACTTGATTTCCTACAGTGAAGCTATAAAGTTCGATATTTAATATTATACTTCATATAATTCATCGATCTGAGAAATATTGACGTAAAATAGCTTTGTCCATCAGTTCACGTGAATTTCTCGTCGAGTTGGTTTTACAAAATATCGTCTTCGTCTCATCAGAAAATGTTGAAATATTTCTAGTGAAAAACTTCGGAGTGCAAAGGGTTAAATATTTCTAAGTACTACACATCCGAGGGTTAATAATTGAAATTTCTAGTAAGAAACATCCGAGGGTTAATAATTGAAATTTCTAGCAAGAAACATCCGAGGGTTAATAATTGAAATTTCTAGCAAGAAACATCCGAGGGTTAATAATTGAAATTTCTAGTAAGAAACATCCGAGGGTTAATAATTGAAATTTCTAGTAAAAAACGTCAAAGGGTTAATAATCTATTAAAAGTAAAGGAACTGTTTCACCGTAAGCCCGCATTTACCCCGAGCATTGAATATCGACGTCGCGTTAACGATACCACGCGTCGACTGCCAAAACACCGGGAGCACCGAAGCTTTTTAAATCGACTTTGAAAGCTTCGTTACGAGAGTCGCGCTCGACATTATAAAGCAACCGGTTCAAGCACAAGCCGCGGCTGACAAAACACATCGACTGAGCGAACGAGTATTATCGATATCGTTCAACGTTCGATTGAAACAATCCGGTAATCCAGACGGAGCACGATAATGCGCTGCGCCCGAGTGTAGATTTATGTTGGTGTTCTGCCACGAACCCCCGTTTTACCGACGATCCAAATTTCAATCGTTGTTTTACCGTTTTACCCGTCAACTGTCGTTGCGAATTTAATATGGAATTCGGTGCAGCCGTTATTCAATCGCCTCAGCTGGAATTGAATAATATTTCTCGAGATTTTATTTTCACATTTTGCATGTGAACACACTGCGAGTTTGCAATAAAGAATCAGAATATTGTGGTTCACGGTTCGATTCCTGTTTTGATTAGTTTCTTTGTTGTATTAATTGTATTGTTGATATTGTTTATGATAGATTTTTTAAAGTATCAAACTGTCGAACTTTGAAACTTCTATCGACACACCAGTCATGCTAGCATTCAAATTTCCACTCAGCAAAATTCAACTTTCCAAAATCTCGATGACACTGCTCTCCGTGTTCCTCATATTTCTAAATTTTCAAATTCTTAAATATCCAAACTCTCAAATTTCTAAACTTTCAAACTTTCAAACTCTCAAACTCTCAAACTCTCAAACTCTCAAGGTCTCAAATTTCTAAACTCTCAAACTCTCAAATTTCTAAACTCTCGAACTCTCAAATTTCTAAACTCTCAACCTTTCAAACTCTCAAATCTCTAATTTCTAAACTCTCAAACTCTCAAACTCTCAAACTCTCGAACTCTCAAATTTCTAAACTCTCAAACGCTCAAACTTTCTTCATAATTTTACAATACCATCACTAATATTCATATTCCCATTACATTAATCACACAACCGTCGAATATCCTTACCCCGCCACCAACACTGCACTCAATTTTGATCTACGAATGTCCCAGATAAATCAAGCGAAACGTGTGCATAAACTGCGAGAAACGGTAAGCTTTCTTGAAGAGGTTAACGTTGAGTTTTTCTATGGTTAATGAAAGGGAACAACGTCGTTTCATAAAGATGTAATGAAACTCGTACAGTTGGTAGCTGCATAGTATCATTCCGTCTCATTCCGTTATACGAGTTCCGTCGAAACTGTGGAATAATCTGGCCGGTTGACAGTGAGAGAGAAAGAGGAACAGTCAGACAACAGGCTCGCGTCAAAGTAGCAAGAAGTCCAACGGAACACGGACAACGGATGGGGAAATTCGTGCGGGCGCGAAGAATTCGAGCAGTAAACTCGAAATGTTTGGCAATACTATTCCCGCCGGGTTTATCTTCGTTTAATAACCGCCAACTTTCGCGCTGCGTCCGACGATAGTAAAGAATGTTTACGATGATAGCGAAACAAGTCTTTGCTTACATCTGCCTCGCCATTCGCGGAACGAGTTCGACAATGGCGGAACTTCGGCCCGCGGAATCATTCTTTTGTTTTCGCGATGCGTTCGACTTCGTTATTCTTTTGTTTCCGATTTCTCATCGATATTGTTGTATTTACCAGCTTCCAATCGTACATTTATTGTACATTTATTGTACATCGTACATTTCATACTCGTTTTATGAAATCGAATCAAAGTTGCAACGAAGGTTTGGAACTGTG